TTTTTTTGGGTAAATTTTATAGGTATCCCAAAAATATATTATTTGATGATTATGGCTTCTTTAGATGAGCTGACGACTACAAGGAGTATACTTCAAATAATGACTATATGTGAAAAGTAGTTCTGAAAAGAAAATTCTTCAGAATACTTGATTGCATGAACATGAAGAGTAGTATTATAATAACATTACTCATTATTATAATTTTAATTTACATGTTATTTAGTGCTAAGTGATACATAAATTTTAATGTAATATATTAAATTTTTAACTTTCTGTAATATTCTTAAATTTATTTCAATGATTTGTTGGAATTATTTTTGAAACAATGAAATTACAACTAGTACGTGTACATAAAGGCATTACAATATTTATTTCAAAAAGAGCCACAAAATAGGAGATTCACAACTAAACTATCCAAACAGGCATACTGTCACCAATATCAACTTTCTCACAGCAACTTCTTCTGGCAACAGCTTCACAGCTGCTTCTTGAAACAGCTGAAGCTGCCCCAAATAGACCCTAAAAATATAAATCCACCAAGAAGAGGTTGACATTCTACTTGTTAAAATAAGAGAATGTTTAAGATACTAATAATACTCATTAATTATTCAATTGAAAAAAATTTTAAAAAATCTTCTAAAGCACCAGATAAAACAAAAAAATTACCTCTTTGTCGGTGAAATCATACTCTTTCGCAGAGCTTGGACTTAGCCTCCTTATGTAGGAGTACTTCTCATCAGGAAATGTGACAGATTCTTTTAGGGATTGTAATATCTTCAGTGGTGCAATGATATAATCAACCCTGGAACAAGTAGTAAGATGTGATCATATTACCAATTGTGAAGTCAGGCTAAATTGAAGATTAATAAAATTCAGTTTGCATAACGCACCCAAGAATGCCAAATAAGTCCTGCTTATTGCGAATTGCTGCAGCCATCAGCTTCGACTTGTATCCGTATTTGTGGATATAGTTGTATGTTTTGATTACCTGTAAAATCATGAAAATTTAATAACAAGTTTGTGGTCTATTACATCACAAGAAATACATAAACAAAATGAATTAGCTAAAAGATTATGCTAATGTTGATTATGACGATAAAAATGTCAAGTTTGTAAATAATACTTAAAGAAGCTGAAAAGCAGCTAAATGTTAAGCAGCTCCAAGAAAAATCTACACATTTTATGAAGCTCAAATGGTTTAGTTGCTTTAAGCATGTTAAAAGAACCGTTAAAATCCATGTCCTCTGCAAAAATTCCTCATGCCTTCTTATATCAAATTTATGGATAGAGCATTCAAAAACAGTCAGAGATTTATAACCATAATTGATTAACATTGCTTCCATTCACAATTACCCCTGGCTAGTGGAAAACATTTCTTAAAACACCCAAATAAATATCTTCTTCCTAGGCTTGTAGTAAAATGTGAAACAGATTATTTTCTTGCATCAAACGTCAAGTTGCAACGAAGTTTCTTTATAAGTTCTCAAGTAGAACCAATAATACAGTAAATGCGATCAACATAAGCATGTTCGATTAATGCAACAAAAATGAAGCTTCAAGAAATAACCTGGATGAAAAAAATCTTCTAAGGGTACTAATTTAACACCACTCCAAAACCTACCAATGCTGAATGCTAATCTGGGCCATCTGATCTCTCTTAAACTCATGACTGGTTGATCCATCATAACCTCCTTCGGCCTTTTTGTTGGAACAAAATACAATTTGTCCCACAACTTTAAAATTTATTAGCATCAAAATGCATGTTTCTCAAATAAAAAGCATGGATAATAGCGTAACCAGCAAAATCAACCACTAATCAGAAAAACAGAACACCCTGCCAGCATCATCTCGGAAGGTCCCCAACGTAATTTTATGGCAAGATGCAAGCACTGTGGAAAAACCAGGAGCTAAATTTATTTAGGAAGTTTCCATTAGATTTATGAATAAATGGCTCACGAGTAAAGCCTGAGTTGGTGATAAATTTATATGGCGACAGCATAAATCTACAAAGACAACCCACTGGCAGATATTAAGGGAAAAAAATAAATGAATAAAGCTGTGAGGTTCTTTCAAATAGGTTATTTTTCCCATGATTAATATTCCAGTATGGGGCTTCAACGAATATACCAACACGGCAAATTTGTTAACAGTATGAAAAAATAAAATAATCACCAGAGCTAATCCAGGATCTTGTCCTCCTTTACGAGCAGCTTCAATCTCGGGATCAGCAGAATGATTGCGAGCCCAATCCTAAATCACCATTCAAAAGTATTTATATCAAATAGTTGAAACAACAGTCAGATTTTAAAGCAGAAAATTACCCTAATTCTGCCCACAAAAATCTGGATGACTGATGCACCCGCCTGAGCTGCAGCCGCTGCTTGAGGGAAGCTGAATGATCAAGAAGATGAATAATGTCGAACAGTTAGAACAGACGGATTAAAACAAATCAAAAAACAAGATTTGGTTCCACAACATTTGATCATTCAACCGAATAACATCATCATCCATCCATTAAGTTGAACTTAATTCCTAAGCAATACTCTTTTTTATATACACCTAACAGCACACTACAAATTATCAGACGAGCGTACAATTAGAAGTAATATTACTCCCTATTACAATGTTCATTGGTAGAACTATGTACTAATTTTAGACCACGTTTTTTAAAAATTCCTTCATTGTTTAAACTTTCTCACTTCAGAAGAGGTCTTACAGATTTAAAATCGTGATTTATTTATAGTATATGAAGACAACTTCAAAAAAAATTTATTAATATTTTTATACCCAATACAAAACAATACATAATTAACGTTAATTTTTTTGTGGTATTATTATGATTTAAAGTTCTCTGATCACTCAATACATTTGAAAGATAGTGTTATCATTCATTCTGAATAGAGTGTTTTAGAACATAAATTAAAATAGAGCACCTAATAAATATTCAAAATACGCAAATGACTTAAAGAATCACCAAATTATATAAGATATGTTTATTTTGAGCCAAAACTTATTTCATTCTACAATTAAATCCCTCGACTTAATTAAATTTGATGTCTTGTGACTCTTTTTGTCCTTTATGTTGACCTATTTGATGAGTTGAGGGAACGATTGAAATCTGGAGTAAAAAATAATACAGTCTAAATGGTTTGAGAATGTCCATTTTTCCGGTCAAAATATTAGAGCTTCAATATCTACCCTAGAAAAAACACACCGCAATTCCGTTTGAACCATACTAGAAGTTAGATAACCATAGTATATTATGATAAAATTTTAATATAACGTAGCAAAAGATTGAATAATAACTCAAACTATCCTGCATAAATGCTTTTGTGCAAGACTCCGACTAAATCAAATTCCAGTGGCTTAAAAAAAGACTTGAGGAATTTAGTTTGTATATGTGTGTTTTTTGAAAAGGTTAGGACGAAGAAAAGAGCATATAAAGCAGAGGTGGCAATGGATTTTTACATTTTTATTTATTGGCAAGAGAAAAATCCAGTGTTGAGAAAAAATTAAAGAGTAGAGAGAGAGAGAGAGATAAACACAACATCATAATGAGAAAACTTTATTCTGCTATTGAAACAAATTGTAGCAAGAAGTCTCATCTCTAGTCACAAATGGAGGTAACAATGCACTTCTCCCTTGTCCAATGACACCTATTGATGCCAAACAACTAACGAAGGCACATATCATGCGAGAAAGCTCGAGAACGGGGCAGGCTCGGTCAAGCTCCCAACAGTATCAATAGCAAATGTTGAGCATTTTGAGAATGCGAACAACACCCAGTTAAATTCAAAAAGCTTTAAAAAGGAAAAGCTACAATATCAACCTTAATGGAGCACTAACATCGCATATTCATTGATTTGTATCTAAGAAAGAAAAGAAAACTAATAGAAGAGAAGGGTAGATGTGATGGAGAAACACGGAAAGAGTACAAGTCTTATGACAACATCTGGGAACATTTCAGATAAGCAAGTCTGATAGACAGTCAAGTAATAGTGACTATGAAAGAAAAATGGAAAGGGAAGAACTACGAAAGGACAAGAGCTTTTCCTCTGGAATCTCGGATGAGAGGACGATTCCATCTTTCCTGATTTTTGTGTGCTTGTTTGATCACAGGATTCAAGACATCAATGCAGCACTCATTTTAGTAAGTATAGAATAATGTCTTGGTAATATGATGGGTCTTTTATTTTGCTCGAGTCCTTTTTCAACTGTAAGCTTCATAATCATGTAATTCAATAATATCAAGAAAACAGCACGTCTTGTCAACATGTGTGACAGAGACAAAGCTCTAGTATGTTTCAGGCTAAATAAATATTATAGAAAAATTGAAAGCAAAATGAGCCGTGTCTTGGGATTTGAAGATAACGCTAAGTTATTACATACCTATAAACAAAAGTCAAATGCGTTTGTATTCCTTCAGCTTCAAGCAACCTCGAAGCTTCAATTCCCTGAAATACAGGGGAGATTTAACCAAGCATTAGTTTGTCGAGAGAGGATGATGGGAGGTCATCTTAAATATTAGAATTCTATCAATGAATCATTATCATACTTGCCAGGTCGCGGGAATTTTGAATAGGAGGCGCTCTGAAGAAACCCCTGCCTCATTATATAACCGCAACAGCTCATGCACCTGAAATTTTCAAACACAGGCAAATCATATTTAAATGGAAGTCAATGTTACCACAATACAGCAGAAGAGTTGTGAAGCATTTATTTCTTATCACGTAAGTTTATGTAAAAATTTTAACAAGATCAAGTGTAACACGCAAAAGATGATATCTTTCACTAAAGTTAAAAGTAAAATCGTATATTTAAAATCAGATTGTAGGTTTTCTTCTTTGCCGATAATAGAACACCCACTTTGACTTCAATTTTGGAGTTCAAAGACATCACTCAACCAAATGGTTGGTGGCAGCTTTTAAAGTAGACAGATGTTACAAAGCAGCAAAAAAAATCAGGAGTTCTTCCTATCATATTTTCTTTATTCAGTTTCGCTGCAATTGGGCCAGGAAAAAAAATGAAAACTAGCAAACAACCAATTGTCTGGTCAACTATTTATACAGGAGAGAAAGGCAAGAAAAGAAACAGCTTTCCATGCACTCATCTGGAGAAAGGAATATCAAAACCTTACTACCAAGCTCTTGGAATGACCCTGTGGGTGTCAGAACCTGTAGATAGAGCCCGGGATTGCACCTCTTTTGGCAACTAGTCTGCTTTATATCTTTTTTCACCCATCTCCTATGAACTCACATTTGGAGTCAACAATCACTGCTTCCTAATGCTAACACGAGAGTTGTTGAGTGCCAGACAGCATTCTCCTCCCCTCAAGATTTCGTTCAAGATTGGGGTCCTGCTCTGGTTCGGTAAGAATGGGCCCAGAAGACAACACTTATGTGACTCTTCCTTCAACCAAGGCCCAATATCTTGGCCACATCAGCCGAGACACCATGGCTAACAAGTCATACGGGTGTATAATTGAAAAACTCAATCGAGCAAAGACAATCCCTCCATTTTGTCAACACCAAACGAGTGGTTTGTAAGCTCTGCATACCATTTGAACGACATCTCGAAAAGGCCATTTATGAACTAACATCAAAGAAGGGCATTATTGCTCCCAATATTATCATGGGTCCCCTTGAAGAATGTCATGAGCATTTTGGGGTTATTAGTCTCATTGAAGATGTTGAATTTAGATATATTATACTATAATTAATGTTCTTTTCATAAAGTTTTCAGTTAGTTATAATAACCTAGCGATTATTGGCGAACTTGATGTCGAAATTGGTTGTTTGCTGGTTCTAATAACTTATGATAATATTTCAAGTTGATAAGAGGGCAAGAAAAAAATTTTAAGGATATTTATCCAAATAAAAATAATTTTAAGCTATGCATTCCAATCATGGACAATAAAAAGCTTGTCATGCATGAAAGGTTGCACGCTTAAACTTAGGTTCGGAGCCTCATGAATCGTATACAGTCCAATCAAGGACAATGACCAGCTTTATTTGGTGTGCAATGTGATAGATAATAACTACAATTTACTTTTAAAAACACATTTTGACAAATAATTTATACTATATGTTTGATCACCACAAATCATTAAAACAAAATTCCTGATCATGCTAAACATTTTTTATGAACTATGATGCGCATTTAACAAGGTCATAAGTAATCAATGGTTGAAATACACAATAATAATAATGTATTTTTGCACAGAGGCAATATTTTGAGCTAATCCATATTACAAAAAGCGTTTCTGCACAATGGCAATGATTTGAGCTAATCCATATTCTATCCTACGCAGCTAGTTGTATTTATGTCAAGATTTGTATAAATATTAGCACTCATTTCCAGGTTTAGCTGGACTGAGTCTAGTTGCTACAATTAGTCACGACACGTCTAAACAACAAAAGCATAACATCAGAAGCGTAGTACATGCCAAGAAAATGTTAATAAGGGCTTCATATAGAAGATTTTTGAATGGGAGATGACTTCTTCGCTAAATTTGTAAACCAAATTCCAGTATTTGGTCATTGAGAAAACAAGGATACTAGAAAAGAAAATCATGGATATGATTCTACCTTATGAATGATGCCTCGTGTGTCATAAGCAAGACGAGCATCCACTTCTGTTGACACCCGACCTGGGACTAATCCGGCCAAGTCAGCACCAACATTCACTAGAGCCTGCAAATGAAGAAAATGTATAATCGTTGCATTATAAGAAACAAGTACTAATCCCTCAAAACTACAAATCCTCAAATTCTAGCATAATAAGAATGACCTTGTTAAAGAAGCAGGTCATCCGGTCACTAGGTTCCTCTTGTTCGTAACATTCGCTGTTCGCCAATGCAATCTCTACAGCACTCTGCAACAGAGCCATTGTTTTTAATAATTTGAATAAGTAAATCATCTAAATCCGTGAATCGTGTGCTGATTAGATAAAACCAAAGTCACCAAAGCTCTGCACTTCCTCACCTTGAACCTGGTGTCTGGAAGGCTGCAAATTCCTAAAAGGAGCGAAGAGCTAACAGTAGCGGCCGTGGGAGGAAACCTGCACTCAAATCATGAAATCATCAGAAACACCGGACGCCAACTAAAGAACAGCTTATTTATTATCAAGTACCCCATACTTCTCAAAATCATCAAAAACCACTGTATCCGGAACTATCTCACTAAAGCTAGACACAGCATCCATTTCAGTTTTCGTTCCTGCATTTCGACTAATCGGAATCAAGCAAATACGATCGGATTTATTGGAGTGAATGAAAGGGGTATTAGTTAAAATCATACCAGTGCCAATAGAAGAAGAGGCATTTCCGGCTGATGCAAGGATTGTTGGAAACGATCGCCGGAAGTGGACCAGACGATTCGAAGGAGATCGTGCCGATCCGGGCCATTTGCCGAACTGCTTCAAGTTCAGAAAGCATCGTGGGAATGAATCAAACGCGGTAACAGATTGGAGGCCCAGACCAGAAGAGGGCTAAAGAAAAGAAGAAAACCTTCGGAGAAGAAGCGGGAGCGGCCAAGGTTGACGACGAAAACGAGGCTGACATTCTCGATGGCAACTAATCGAAGCAGAGATCGAGAACTGAACCCTCCTCAAATATTAGCAATTTTCTAAAAGCAATTTTACATGGATGCCACCAAATTAAATATATATGTATATTTTACATTGGACATGTATATGTATATATCTATACAATACACACACAGATATATATATATATTGTTTTTATATAACACGGTTGTCCTTAGAAGAGTTGCTAGTCATGCATGAGGAGAAGAAAGAGGCGAGAGGGTATTAGTGTTTGGGATGTAGGAGATATGTTGTGAGAGATTTATGTTACTGTTGTTTACAGGGAGGTAGGTTGGCACGGTTTCTGCAGCGGCTGTTGTGGTGATTAGGTGACTTGATATAAGGGGGTTTATAGTTGGGCAATTTGTGAGGTGAGATTGGGTCATGGGCAAAGTTGTTGCAGGTCGTGCGAGGAGTCTACTTCCATTTGTAATTTATGGGTTATATAGCATGTTGCCTGTTAACATTCAAAGTAACAGAAAACCAAGAGAGTGGAGAGGATGTTGATTTGTACACTCACTCGAGTAAAAGTACATTTGGCAATCAATCGATCTACAACCAGAGGAATCTCAAAAGTGCTGACAACATCAGATATATCATTCTTTGTCCATCAACATATAGGGAAATTGGGTATCTTAAACCATAATAAAACATTAGATAAATCTTCCTTAGCTGTTTGAAAGCAGAATATTTATTTTTTGGAAATGAATAGTTTGCTTCTTATGAACTAGAGAATACCTATAAAACTATATACATATCTTCCATTTAAAAAAA